AGAAATTCAAATTAGTGGGCGGGCGCGCGATCAGCAATACAACCGTGCGGCTCGAAAGCTTGCGGGGGTGAATTGCATTGCTGGTCGCGTGGTGAAATCTGCACAGCAGCAGAAAGGGATTGAAAGATGCGTGCAAGATTTAGTTAGTTTGGAGCTCTCGGAGTGAGCAGACGTTAACAAAAAATCAAATCGTTGAAAAGGTATTATAATTTAGGTTAAGCTTGGGAGCCTCGTAATAAAGTAAGCACATGTAGAAATGACCGTGTATTCATTTGTAGTTAGTTCATCTAACATATTGACTTTTGACACTAACTGCAATTAACTATAAGAACACTAACTGGTAGTTTGAACGTGCTTACGACCCGTTCGCCAGAAGGGTAAATCTCTGGCAGTGAAAATCGCGTGGTATGTGATTGAACGCCGGCGGCAACGCTGGGCGTTCTTCGACCCGCGATCTACCATTCGTAGTGGCCCCACTAACTCCCCACAGCACGCCTTCGCAACCCCGACCCCAGCAATCTATAGTGCGCTTGATCGCGGTACGCGATTGCTGTCGCCCTCCCTCGTGCAAACGCGTGGGCGTGGTCGGCGAGTTCAGGCCGCGTGGTCACCTAACCTCAAATGGTACCCTTCCCCTCTTCCATTTCTCCAACACTGTACGTCCCGTAGTAACTTATAAATTTCTTGTAAGTTATGGCCCTGGGCAGACAGACTCTGACACCGGCTGGAAAATTAATGTAACCTTACAAGCAAGAATCTTGAAATTTTTTTTCCTAGGTCTGTGTATATCACGCGCATATCAAGTTTTTCTCTATATATCGATAACTATTCCCGATATTTTATTATCGATTAAAAACCTTATCGAAAGCTAGTTATTTAATTATATCTCCTACAACTTTAGAGCAAGAGCTTGCAAATTTTATATGTAGACTTATATGTATTTTATATAATTTTGATTTTTGTTGTAATTTACCCTCCACCCCTATATCCACCAACCCTCACCTTTGTAAAAGGCGTATTTCAAGTACTAAAGACTTGTGCTTTGGAATGTACATACATTTGAACATTATGATTATATTCTGGATGTTTTATCAAGATTGTACGTCTAGGAATTAAATTATTCAACAAATAAATTCTTATAATATTGCCCATACTGCAGCGCAGCCCAAGCGCAATCGCTGCTTACTGCGCAGTTAGCAGAGCGCGTTCTAATACGTGTGTGTGTATGTATATGTGCCTAAAATAAGTGCAGAATGATTAGAATATCAGATTAGAGGGTTCAGGGTATCTCCTGTCGAGCAGTCTCGACTAGAGTCTTCTTACTTGTTTTGAATTTGGTTCCTTAAAACTCATTAGCCAAGTAAGAGGCTTGTGGTCTGTTATGATTTTAAACTTTTGGCCGAATAGATAGGGACGGAAATGTTTTATTTATTATCTCTTTTTCAACCGTAGAGTAGTTTGATTCAGTATCTGATAAGGTTCTGCTAGCAAAAGACACAGGCTTGTCTGATCCCAGTGTTCATTGAGATAATACTGCCCCTAATGCGAAATCACTAGCATCCGTTATTAATATGAACGGCTTAGTAAAATCAGGATAGATCAGTATAGGGTCATTACATAAAAGAGACTTGCAAACTTCAAACGTTGATTGAAATTCTTCATCTATAATAACTTTATTTTTTCCTTTTAATTGTTTAGTTAGGGGCTTAGTTATTTTGGCAAAATCTTTTATGAATTTTCTGTAATAACCCATTAGTCCCAAGAAAGACTTGATTTGTTTTTGGGTCTTAGGTAGGGGAAATTTCTTTATTGCTTTAATCTTGGATGGGTTTGGTTTTATGCCCTCTGAGCTTACAACATGTCCTAAAATACTCAATTTCTTTCCTTAAAAACTCGGTCTTATTTATTTGTAGCTTTAAGTTGGCTGCTCTTATCTTTTTAAATACATTTCTTAAATGTTGAATATGCTCTTGTAATGAGGGTGAAAATATAATAATATCGTCTAGATATATTAGGCAATATATACCAAGTATGTCTCCAAATAAAGAGTCCATTTCCCTTTGAAAAGTGGCCAGGGCGTTAGTAAGGCCGAAAGACATTCGTACAAACTCGTAATGTCCCCCTTCTGCTGAAAATGCTGTTTTTGGAATGTCCTTTTTGTGCATTTCAATTTGGTGATAACCACTGGCTAAATCTAGTAATGAAACATATTTAGCTTTTCCCAATTTGTCTAAAACGTCACTAATTATTGGCATGGGGTACTTATCCTTAATAGTCTTTTCATTAAGTTTCCTATAATCTACCACTAATCTCCACCTTCTTTGTCCTGTTGCATATAATTTCTTTTGAACTAACCATACAGGTGCACTCCAGGGAGAATGACTGTGATGATTTTTTGATTAAGTAATTTTTCTATCTGAGCTTTTATTTCTTTTCTTTCATTAAAACCATATCTAAATGGTCTTGTGTAAACAGGAATGTCGTCTGTAGTAGGAATTTTATGTTTCACGCTATTTGTGAATGTTAATGGGTTCTTATCATCGTAAAATATGTCTACAAATTCTAAACAAAGTTTCTTTAAAGATTCGATTTCTTCAGTGTTTAGTTGGTTGGTTCTTATTTTTTCTTGAAAATTAGAAGAGTTCGTTACTGTATTTGAGGCGTTTTGAAAGGCCAAATTTACTTCGATGTATTGTTCCCTTATGTATGGCGTTACCACTAACGGTTGATCAAAATAAATGACTTTTTCAGTGTCTGAGTAGTTAGTAATCTCCATCGTGCTAAAATTGTTTGTTGCCGAATATAATGCATTTGAAATAACTAATTCGTTACCTAATCGAATTTCTGGGCAATAGAAGGCATCCTTTAAACTTACAGGTATTTGAATCGTATGTCTTGTTGCCTCCACGATCACCTGTCTTTCGCCTGTTATCAGCGCGTCTTGCACTTCTATTTTTATACCCTGAACCCATTGAAAATGGGAAATCAGGGTATAATGGTTTTGTGAAAAGTATGTAACAGGCAGAAGGAATCATCGCAGACCCCATAAAGTATATATATTCTTGATCAGGACGACGAGCTGAGTCGATATAGCCCTGTCCGTCTGTCCGTCCGTCCGTCCGTATGAGCAAAAGGATCTCAGAAGTTATAAGAGCTAGAGAGCTGAAATTTGGCATGCATACTCGTGTATATCATAGGCAGTACGAGTTTGCTTTATTTTTTCGATAACTCATCCGATAACTTTTTTATCGAGAATAATCGAAAAATCAACATTGTTTTTTCAGCCTAATTTGAACACTTTTCAACCAGGAGACTTCAAGTTTGCGTTGTATATAGAGTTAATAGACACAAAGATTTTGTAATTTACAGATTTTGGATACCACGCCCCCTTCGCCCCCAATTTGTAAAAAACGCATTTCAAGTACTAGAGACTTGTGCTTTGGAATGTACACACATTTTAACTATATGAACACATTCTGAAAGTTTCATAAAGATACTCTTACTACAAGAGAAATTATTCAACTAATAAATTCTCATAATATTGCCCACATTGCAGCGCAGCCCAAGCGCAGCCGCTGCTTACTGCGCAGTTAGCAGAGCGCGTGCTTATAAGTGCATGTGTATGTATAGAAGAAGTGCAGAATGATTAGAATATCAGCTTGGAGGGTTCAGGGTATCTCCCAGTCGAGCAGTCTCGACTGGAGCCTTCTTACTTGTTCTATATTATTGTTGTTATACCCTGAACCCATTGAAAATGGGAAATCAGGGTATAATGGTTTTGTGAAAAAGTATGTAACCTGCAGAAGGAATCATCGCAGACCCCATAAAGTATATATATTCTTGATCAGCACGACGAGCTGAGTCGATATAGGCTAGAGCTATGAGCTAGAGAGCTGAAATTTGGCATGCATACTCGTGTATACCATACGCAGTACGAGTTTGCTTTATTTTTTCGATAACTCATCCGATAACTTTTTTATTGAGAATAATCGAAAAATTGATTTTGTTTTTTCAGTCTAATTTGAACACTTTTAGACCGGGAGTCTTCAAATTTGCGTTGTATATAAAGTTAATCGACACAAAGATTTTGTAATTTGCAGATTTTGGATACCAGTCTCCCTTCTCCCCCAATATGTAAAAAACGTATTTCAAGTACTAGAGACTTGAGCTTTAGATTGTACACACATTTTAACCATATGATTACGCTCTGAAAGATCATTAAGATTGTATATCTACAAAGGAAATTATTCAACAAATAAATTCTCATAATATTGCCCACATTGCAGCGCAGCCCAAGCGCAGTCGCTGCTAGCTACGCAGTCAGCAGAGTGCGTGATATACGTGCGTGTGGATGCGTGTGTATGCATGTGTGCATAAAAGGAGTGCAGAATGAGTAGAATATCAGCTTGGAGGGTTCAGGGTATCTCCCAGTCGAGCAGTCTCGACTGGAGCCTTCTTACTTGTTTTTAAATGTTCGTATATAAAGCGCGGATGTCGAGTTTATCACCAAGAACCGATAACTCATTCCGTTCCACCTCTATATTGTATGTGTGTCCGTGTGTCTTGTGTAAGCAGAAAAACGCGAAAAATGATTGAAATAACTATTGCTCGAAGGGTTCAGGCGATCTCGTAGTCGAAGTGTCTCGACTAGAGCTTTCTTACCTATTGTATAAAGGCTTTCAATATTTAACCCCGCCCACTTTGTTTAAAAATTTCAATTTTTATTCATTATAATAAAGCAATATTAATAGCCTATCCATACCTCAACGGGAAGTTAGAGTAGAGGTTGTATCTTTGGGAGTGGATTGAAAATGAACGGTTTTTTTTTTTTTTTTTTTTTTTTTTGGGCTTGTGATGAATCACATTTTTCCCCAACCCCGACCCCGAGAAAACTGTTCCCTTAATCCTCTTTCCACCCCGATCTCAATAAATAGCAAAGATTAAGAAAATATGTTTATTTGGAGCAAGTAGTTTACATAGCAACGGCAGCAAAAAAAAAAAAAAAACGACAAAACGGACGCGGACGCTCTTTCCGATTCTACTGACGTTGCGGGAATGCAGAGGTACTTGCAGAAAAGGCTTCCAATAGAGGGAAAATCAGATTGATTCATCTGCAAAATAAATTATATTATTTGGTTAATGAATAGAATTATATTGAACTTATAATTCAATTTTAAGCATACCTTCATCCATAACAGAGGGTCCGTATCTTGAGAGACAGTTGGCCTCTCCAGATACTGCCTTTTAATAAGGATTGCATCCACTCGTGAGTTTCCAACTTTGGTCATTGATCGCTCACCCACAAAAACAAAGAAAAAGAGTACTCTGGGAACTTGTATCTCGTGCGACAGGCTGATTAATCGGGAACTCTTTGGCAGAAAAATTTGCTAGCTCATTTTCAAAAAATGTTGCTGCTTGCTCAGCGTTTGAGCTGTGTTGAAATCCATCTTTCTTAAAACGTGGATCCAATATTTTAGCCATTCTGCATACTGTCCTTTGCTCATATATGGAAAGACGTTTTTTATTGATTTCATTGATATGTTTTTAATAGTCCTTCCTTGCAAAGTTTGCAGCAGAGGTGAAACACTTTCGATTTTGCGTAAAAGTTCATATGCCATGGGTATTATTAGGGATATGGTAACGTACTTTCCACCTGAAATTTGTTCACTTGCCTGCTGAAAGAAAGCCAATACCTTTTCTATATCTTTGAGGACAAGGATTTCCTCAGCAGTAAACGGCTGCGGTGCATTTGTAGTTGATAATAAGACTTTGGCAATGGCATCGTTCGTTTTTAAAATACGCTCAATCATGAAATGAAAACTATTCCACCTGGTGGGTGTTTCCTGCAACAAAGTATACGCCGAACCTTCTTGAGCTAGTTTAAATTTTTCATTCGCTATTGTGCTTTGTTTAAAAAATCGAACTATGGATTTGCACTTAGTAAATAAATCTTGAATTATTACATCATCAACTTTTAAAACATCTTGTACCACCAAGTTGATCGAATGCGCAAAGCATGGCAGATTGCGGATTTGTAATATTTCACATGCTTTAAGCATGGAGCTAGCATTATCTGTTACAATGCATACAGTTTTATTGAGAATATTCCATTCAATCAATATTTCTCGCAATGTATCTGTAATGTTTTGCGAACAGTGATTAATTTTGTTTAACAGTTTTTTCGTAGCCAAAGATACTGTTTTTAGTTCGTTATGATGAACAAAATGACTCGTTACAGTCAAAAAACAAGCATTGGCACTTGATGTCCACAAGTCACATGTTATTGCAATATCAGGAATATTTTCAAGTATTACTGACAACTTTTCAGTGGTTGCCTTGAAATAATTATATATTAGCACATCTCGTAAATGTGTCTTGCTCGGTAGTTTGTAATTCGGATCCAGAACTTGAGTATATTGAACAAAGCCTTCATTATCAACAATATTGTAGGGCTGCACATCTTTGACAATCATTTCAATTAGGGCTTTGTCAATTTCTGCCTTTCTTTTGGAATTTGAGTCATACAAGACAGTACTTTTGAAATGGGACGCTATAGATATCATATTTGATTTACAACTACTGGCAGCAGGGTCGTTCCCTTCAGCACATACAGCAGGTGTGCTAGAGTCTGGATTTTTAATCTCTAAGCCAGGATGAAACCTCCTCAAGTGGTCATGGAGATTAGATGTGTTGCCACTTGTTTTATATTCCTTACCACAGGTAAGGCACTTAGCAACTTGTTTGTCTCCAGACCTCTTGAAATACTTCCACACTTCGGAAATCTTATTTCTTTTCGCCTGTGAGGGCGTTATTGCTGCAGTATTCGCATTGCTGCAATCAGAAGCCGGCGCGCCGACAGAGGCCCCACTGTGCGCCGTGGCAATGCTGCGCTTACCTTAAATCAAACACAAATATTGCAAAACACATTCTAATAATATGTTATGGGCATTACCTTCTTGGAGGAAGCGATCCATTTTGTTTAAAAATGTAATATAATAATAGTTTTAGATTAACTAAACTTTCTGCGGTCAAGATGAATAAAGCGCCAACATTGATTGCAGTGATGTAAGAAAAAATATCGACGACACTATCGATAAGCATCGCATTATTTGACCATCTATATTTCGATAGCTCGATTGTGCCCTAAGCCGACGGGAATTACATTCTCGTGTGTTATTTTTTTTATGTGTGCGCTGTTCTTTTCTTGTTGAATAATTTTACAAAGTGCCTTATAGTGGGGGACAATGGTGAGCTAGCGAAATTAGAGTTAAGTTTTTTTGTTTAATAAAAAAAAAAAAAAAATTTAATAAATCGCGAAACCGAAAACAATAGCCAAATTCGTGTATTGATTGAAGTGATTAATTAGTGGACTTTTGTGAAAACGAGTCGTCGCGTTTGGGAGGCCGTGGCCGATGGCGGTTGCAAGAAGGACTTTGAGCGTTATATGCCAAAGACTGGAATGCGAGCCGCCGGCTCACTGCCTTCCCTGACTCGGTGACTCGTACCCCACCGTAGCCTGCCGGGACTGCACAATCTGGTCACGAGCGTTATGCGCTATAGCCAAATTGCGGTGGTCTCCGGTTTGGGTACGCGTTGAGAGGAGGAGTGCTGTGTGTGTCGTACTGAGAAAAGTGGCGGAGTCGCGCCGAAGACTCTGAGCGTTATATGCCGGAGTCTGACGTGAGAAGCCGCGTGCACCCAAACCTCACAGTAGTCTGGCGAAAGTTGCACAGCCCGGCTCTGAGCGTTCTATGCCAGAGCCGGATTGGCAATGATGGTCATTGTGGCTACCCTCGTGAGTAGGTGGTTTGCTGTGTCGTCGATTGTGGGTGTTGCCACCTCTGGGCTCGGAGCAGCGGAGTCACGCCGAGGGCCCCCGAGCGTTATACGCTGGAATCCCAAGACGCGAAACTGCTGAACACGGAGCGCCTCACCACAGCCCGACGGGAGCCGCCCGACCCGACCCTGAGTGTTGTACGCCAGGGCTGGACCGGGGCGGCGACCCGTGTGGCGGTGGACGAGATCGAGGTGGTGGCGCGTAGTCTCATGGGGAAGATTTCCTATATATATAGGTGGAAGACAGTGGAATCAGACTGAAGACTCTGAGCGTCATATGCCAGAGCCCGACGTGAGAAACCACTGGCTTCCAGGTACCGTACCGCTGCCCAGTGGGGGGCTGGTGTGGCATAGTTACCCCGCTTCTGAGCGTTATACGCTAGAGCGGGACTGTATTCGCCTTCGTTCTCAGTTTTACGTTATCAAGTTGTCGAGTGTCTTTTGTTAACCAATTTCTAGTTTTCTCGTGCCCCAATCGCGGGTAGTTCAGCCATTGTGGCTCACTATCCGCCCTCAACTCTCCAGTCTCGGCAGATTACAAATATTCTTGTAAATGACTCTGGGGAAGACTGAGAGCTGTACCCCGGCCGTAGTAATAACTTCTTTACAAGTGGCGCCCGAGCAGGGACTCGGGATTGTTGAGCGAGGATTCTTTCTGGGATTAAAGCCCCGTTGGGAAGAGCCCCATAAGGCACCAGAAAATTTCGGAAAAAAAAGGGGCAAGGCAACAGATGAATCGTGAAATCGCAACAACCTAGAATCGGAAAAAAAAAAGAATATAGATAAGAATGGCCGCTGCGACGGCAAAATGGCGACCATGAGACACTCAAAGCTCACAAGACAGCACCGGAGAAAATAGCACGTGACGGCACCGGTAGGGAGAGACAGACGACGGACAGAGAGAGAGAGAGAGACGGGACAGAATAGCCGAACCGAACGCACAACTTCTCGGCACCGAAGACACGAGGTCGACGACGGGTATAAAAGAAGCGAGTGCAACCTAACTGGGGACACTCGCCTACCAGCCATCGACGTGCACACACCTCAGCGGAGAAATTCACCAAGGAGATTTAGCGCAGGACATCGACGGAATTATATTCAAGAATTCACCTTCGTGGGATATTCAAGGAATTTACGGTATTCATTGTCGTGGAAGTATCGTCGAGAAATTAACCGGACTCAACGTCGTGGAAACCTCATCGTGGATCTCCAAGAATTCACCATGGGGATGTGGGATACTCAAGGAATCAACTGGAATCATCGTGGGATATTCAAGAATTCACCATCGTGGGATACTCAAGGAATCAACTGGAATCATCGTGGGATATTCAAGAATTCACCATCGTGGGATATTCAAGAAGGAATCAACTGGAATCATATTCAAGAAATTAATCGGATCATCGTCGTAAAAGTATCGTCGAGGGATATTCAAGAAAGTAATCGGGATCATCGTCGTAGAAGTATCGTCGTGGGATATTCAAGAAATTAATCGGAATCATCGTCGTAGAAGTATCGTCGGGTGATATTCAAGGAATTATTATCGCCGTGGGATATTCAATAAATTAACGGGAATCACCGTCGTGGTACAGCCGAAGTATTCACACCGTTGGTAATAGGCTACCGTCGTTGGACATTCACACCATCATCGTAAAGCACCTATCGTCGAGGGAACCATTAAAACTATCGTCAAGGACCATCAACCAAAACCACTGGGGAATTTCGTCGTTGAAATCAAAGCAAATAACAACACGCAATGACGGGCAATACGGGCTGGGTCAGTTATAGGCGAAAGGCGGAGTTGGAGGCCATTCTCATCGAACTGGAACTGGAACCGCATGGTCTCGTGGACGAGCTGCGGCGGCGACTAACCGCATATATCAATAGGGATGATCTCAGTGAGGAGGTGCAACAGAGGCTGGATTACTGGGCCGAGAGTTACGGCAACCGGCCATCCCCGGACTCGCGACCACCCAGCCCCAACCCCCCAAAAGACGAAAGGCAGGCAGAAGTCGAGCCAGACCGGTTGAGTGGGCCTACACAGCTCCTCATTCCGCCCTTGGAAAACCCTCGGACAAGACTTACCATAGCATCGACACCAGCGAACACCATAGGCCCAATCAGAGGAGATGACCCGCCAACCCGGCAAATAGTGCAACCGCGGAAATGGGGGGTGACATTTAATGGCCGCACCGACCCGTTACGTTTCATCGAGCAATTGGAGGAGCGCGCAGTAGGCTACCAAGTGGATGTCAGCTATTTGCCGAGAGCGATGCCTGAGTTATTAACTGAGCGGGCCGAGGATTGGCTGAGGGGGAGCGGACTCCAAGGCGCGACATGGGAAACTTTTAAAAGCGAATTTCTGCAATTCTTTCTCCCGCCGCGGTATTTCAAACGCCTTGGAGACGAAATACGGGCCCGTATGCAGCGCGTAGGCGAATCGTTTCAGGACTACCTCATTGCCTTACGAGTAATGATGCAGAGGGCCGGACTGACGGACGCCGAACAATTGGAGCGAGCATACGACATCATGTTGCCCACGTATCAACTGTATATGAAGCGCGATGAATGCCGAACAATAACAGAACTGACACGACTGGCCGTTACCTACGAAGAGTTACGAGAGTTGGAAGGGCAAAGAGAATCGGCAACCCGCAACTATCGCGCCACGTGGACATGTTAATCCTTTCCAGAACACCCCGAATCACACCGCCGCGACTCCGGAGGACAACGGTGACACACGGGGACGGTGTACCAATAGATGTACGAAGAGCGTGTCATCGATGCGGAGAAATAGGCCATTTTTCTAGGGAATGCCACAGAGCCCAAGTATTATTCTGTTGGGACTGTGGCCAGAGAGGAATCATGACGCGGGATTGCTGCCGAAGGGCCACACCGGGAAACGAATCCCGTCTCCGTCCATCAGGGGATGTGGGGGAGACGAGCCAGCCCGCTCCCCAGAACCGGAAGAACTAATTCAAATACAAAAGGGTCGAATCGTCGCGACAGTGGTGGTGCTTGTACCCGAGTAGCTTTAGCAGATGGGACGTCCCGCGAAGTCGACCGTACTGTTAGAGCTGACATAAGGCTGGGAACTCGGGGAGCCACGATTTCGGTACTCGTCTTGCCGACGCTAGTGGACGAACTAATCCTAGGAATGGACTTTATGGCGGCTATGCAGACCACTATCCAGTGCGGGGAACATCGCACGATTATTAGAGAAGGGACTCAGGCGACGACGCCGGCGATCCACCGTGGAGTCTCTCTTCGGCCCACATCGATGGGGAATCAACGTGACGGTACTCCGACAACCCAAGTCACCCAGGCTGGACGGAATGAGGAACCCGAGGGCGATGGCCAGGCGGCAAGCGTCCCGATGGCGAGGAAGAGGGAAGTCTATCAACCAAGTCCAGAGAACTCCCACACAGGCCAGGAAGCGGAAAACCCAGTCGTGAATAATCCAGATGTGGTAGCATTTTTGACGGAAGAGCTCGATCGATTCTATGACCTCCAAGGGACCACTCACATCGCGGAGCATAGGATAACTATGAAAGATGATAGACCCATCAAACAACGCTACTATCCGAAGAATCCAGCCATGCAAAAGATCATCAACGAACAAATAGATGAGATGCTGGCACAGGATTGTATCGAACCTTCACGGAGTCCCCACAGTGCGCCGATAGTATTGGTACGAAAGAAGAACAACAAATGGCGTATGTGCGTGGACAATAGACAACTAAACGAGCGGTCCATTCCCGATGCGTATCCACTCCCCAGGATGACGCATATCCTGGAAAAACTACGGCACGCTAAGTATATATCGACGCTGGATCTAAATAATGGCTATTGGCAGATCCCGATGGCCAAGGAGAGTCGGGACTGTACGGCATTTACAGTACCAGGACGAGGGCTTTTCCACTGGAAGATAATGCCATTCGGGTTACATTCCGCTCCGGCCACCTTCCAACGCGCTTTGGACAGTATCATCGGGCCCGAAATGGAACCATACGCCTACCTGGATGACATCGTGGTGGTAGCCGCGACTCTGGAGGAGCACATGCGAGTCTTGAGAGAAGTATTCCGCCGTCTCCGTGAGGCCAACCTGAGGCTCAACCCAGACAAATGCGCGTTCTTCAGGAAAAGTATTACCTATCTGGGCCACGTAATCAGTGACCATGGAATCCACACCGATCCAGATAAAATCGTAGCTGT